TGTCATCATAAATCTTCAGAGCTGGGCACAATGCCTGGTCCCAAGTAGGTGCTCATTAAATGCTCCCTAAATTCACTAGGGCCAAAGTAAGCCTGCTTCCTGCCCCTAATCAACTCCTCACTTCCTGTGCCATCTAGACAGATCTTTCTGAGATCCATTTGGGAATGTTTGTAATAGGCTTCGGAGAACCAATTCTTTATCTGGGCCCTTTGTGGTCTCTCTTGGAAGGCCTCCTTGGGACCCAGCCCACAGAGTACTGTTGTAACTCACATGGGCTAACTGCTTTTCCTGTCACCCGTTATTATGCCTCAGATGGCCTAATCACACCAAGTACTCGCACCTAACATGGAGACAACTGTGGCTAAAAACAACAAAGTTCTCTGAATTTTCAGTTTATGTCAATTAGTTTAAAAGCTCTGAATCATTATCTCACTATTATTTCTTGAATTTGAGAAAAGTTTAAAAAAACATTTGTACCACCACAGAGCCAGGAGACACTCTGAAAAGGTACTTACTGTTCCTAAACTGAAACTATAACCTGGCTCAGAAATCTGAACACTTTGCTTACCTGGGTTGCTCCTTATTCAGTTCAGTTACTGTTCAATCAGTAGCTAGTATAATGTGTAGAATTTTATGGTATCCCTTCTGATATAGGGCAGGTGCATTTCTTTATTTTAATTTCAACTGTCTTATGCCTTGGTTATTTTCCAATCTAAAATGCTTTAGGATTAAGGACTGGGCTATATACTTGCTTCTACTACTGTATGCCTCCTTCTCAGAAGTCAAATTCACATCAATCAATGGATGCAAATAAGCAAACTACAGAAGAGCAATTCTTGGCTCTTGGCAAAGAGAAGATATAAGCTATGACTTCAAAGGCAATGGAAGAACCTCCTTCTCCAAATGTATTTTTGCAACTCCTGGTCTATGTTTGAAATTCTATCTTGATAATTCCACTCATTAGCTCTTTCTTAAAATGCAAACCCCCTTGGAAGAATTAATATTTTTAGAACTATATGTTATTTACATCTTAAATTGGAATAATTCCAGATCCTTTTTTTTTGGATGCTGGGGATTGAATCCAGGCCTCATAAATGTAAGCATGAGCTCTATCACTACACTACACTCTATTCCCTGAAGGTAAGTTTTGATTAAGAGGAAGACAAAAACCACAAAGGGATATACAGAAGAAAAGGACAGGATAAGACCACAGTTTAGAAAATGGTAAAGATTAGTAAGAATACACACAGACTTTCCTCTAGGACTGGTTTTGCAAGTGAGCTCAGTTCCTTGGTGGGCAATTCAGGTTTCTACTGGGCATGATACAGAGGTTGGGCGTATTAGAAGCCTTCTAAAGTCAGTAAAGTCAAATTTAACTAATTGAGTAGTAGTATGAAATATCGCAGTTGTACACTAACTCTGAGATTTAGAAGAAAATCAATTTCAAATCCAGAGAAACTTGAGAGCCTCTCAGGTCATTACAGAGAGACAGATATGGAGGTCTTTTAGGGAATCATCACTATCTTCTGAGATAAGGGACAGTCAAATATTGTGAACATGCAGGGATCATGAACCAGAAGATGGAGATATCAAATTCCTTCAGAAGAGACACCAATAATTGTCTCAAACAAAATAATTCACCTTAATGTTTCTTTCCTGCCCATAAAGTTTTGTCCACATAATTGGGCATTTCCTTTTTAAAATTTGGGCATTTTCTAGAGTACCTGGTGCATAAGTCTGTGTGTGTGTGTGTGTGTGTGTCTGTGTGTGTGTTGAAGAAGGCAAGTGATAAACCAGAACACAACCCTCTGCTTGTCTGTATTCGATAGAAAACTGAATGTGAAAAGAACACAATAAATAACAGAGTGTCATCCAAGAAGGGAAAATATGGAAAGAATGAGGCCAGAATTTGGTGAGAATATTAAAACAGAATTGTCTTTGGTGGTACACCCCCCAAAACAAAGACTGATCTGTTGTCTCTGATCTCTGACTTTCTTAAATACAATGTACGAGGTATGGTGTGGGAAGATTTACACTTTTATACAGCTTACATATTTTAAAATATGTGCATATTACTTTTGTAAATAAGAAGTGTAGTAATAAAATACACTGGTATAGAAGGGAACAAGGAGAAAGAACCCTAAGGGAAAATCCCATAGGCTCCAATCTATGGGAAACTCCAAAGTCAGCAGGCCATTAAAAATACATGGAGTGGAGGGGACCCCACTTCTCTGCCTTAGTAATCTATCTTTTTTTGGTACATGTCTCTCTTCCCCCAAATACTTTACCATTTGACTCAATCTAATCACACAGACACCTGGGCTCCTGAAGAAACTGACAAAGAACAGGGATGATGCCAGCCTTCTGCAATGGAATTTCTTACTCTTCCCCAAATCCCTTCCTCAGTGATATCACTTCAAAGTTCCAGGCCTGGTTAACTCCATTACCTGCCTGGAAAATACCCAAGTCTAAGTGTCAGAAAAGTTTTGCCAACTCTGGTCAGAAGATATGCAGATGAATGGAGATCTCTAAGCCCCACTCCATGCAGGTAATGAAATCATTCCCTACTTCCAGGTAAATGATATAGTTAAAGAAGACAAAATATCCCCCCAATTTAACTTCTTAGTTCTTATGCAGGACATGAGACAGTAAGAAACAGACTGCAGTCTAGACTAACTAGGAGGCCAAGAGAAAGTGTAGGGGCCGACTTTGGAGCAGTGAACAGTCATGAAAAAGTAAATCTACTTTTGTTTTCCTCCCCTACCTGGCAGTAGCAAAAAACTTCAAATTACCACCCTAAACACGAAAGGCACAAAACAGTGGGTACTCCAAGACCCAGAGCCTCCAGCCCACCCTTCAGCATTCCCAGGAGCTCCCACAATTCATATCAGGCCCTGCTTCCATTTCTTAACTGCCTTAGTCTTCCACATCAGTAAGTAATGTCTTCCCTGGCGCCAGTTCTCCCTCACTAAACCCAAATCCATCTCGGCCCAATACCAGAGCACCCTCGGTTCTCTTAACAATCGTCACTTTCCCTAAAAACACTGCCTCTCTCCCTGCTAAGAACCCGTCCCAGGCCCCCCTCCCCTAGCAGCACCTCTCCAGCGACCCGGCCCGGGCTCCTCTCGAGGCCGGGCGTCGGGCTAACCCCTCCTCACCTCCCGGCGAGCGGGCCCCGTCCCTTTCCCAGCTCCTCCCTCTCCAGGCACCGAGGCCTGGCCCTGCCCTCTGACGGGCTCGGGGCCTCCCGCGCCCGGCCCTCGATGCGACTCCCACCGGGACCTGGTCGTCTCCCCAACTTCAGGATCCCAAGCCCGCCCGATCCCTCCTCAGCGCCCCCGTTAGGCCTGTCGGGGCCCGGCCCACTGCTCCCCTCTCCAGTGGGCCCCGCCACTCCCTCGCCTTGCCCCGGACCCGCTTCTGCTCTCAGGCCAGGCCTCTTTCATCTCCTGGGCGCCTCTGCCTCTGCTCTGGTGGGATCCATCAACTCGGTACCTGGGGCTCCGTCTTCCCGGTCGGGCCCAAGCCTGTGTCGAACAGACAAACAGCTGCAGCTCAACCAAACCCTCTAGCCCCTCCTCCGCCGCCTCCTTTTGCTCTGGGGCCAGGGCTCCAGCCAATAGTACGGTTACCCGCCTACCGCCGGGGGTGGGCCATGTGGCACTCATCCGCCAATCCTCTGGAGAAAGGCGGGCCTCTTTGGGCGCTGTCACCAACGAGTACGAGCGAGAGCCAGAACAGGCGGGGTTCTAAGCCAATAGAGAGAGAGAGAAGGCTTGAAGATGGAAAAAGTAAGGAGCCATTCAAGAACGAGCTTCAGGAGGCACGGGGCGGCACAGTACTGACTGATAAATGTATCAACTAATAATATCTCGACACCCCATGACCCCGCCTTTTGACTCATAAACATCTAATCAGGTGAGTGATGAAGGCGGGTCAAAGTGAAACTTTAACCAGTACTGCGAAAACTTGGGACTTGAGTGGCAGGCAAGGCGAGGTGGAAAGAAGACTGGAGGAAGCCGCTACTGACCTTCGCCCCTCCCCCTGGATTTGGCGGGGGCCGATTCCAGTGACCCGCCCTCTATGACAACTTCGCAGGTGTGAGGGGAAATATCTCTCCTAGGGACCTGGGGCCTGACAATCTAAGTAACGCTCACGTCAATACTTCCTCCCTGAGCCGGAGATTTAGCACAGTGGTTCCGGTGCCTGCCTCGCAAGTGCGAGGTCCCAAGTTCGATCCCCCTATACCAAAAAAAAGAAAAAGAAAAAGGACCCTAGTGGATACTTCCCCGTTTTAGTGGGGCTTCAGAGGACTGGAGATTCGGGGATGGCCCGTAGGCGGTCTGAGGATGTTTTTAGCGGAGATAATGACAGTTACAAAAAGTAGTAGCTTGAAGATGTTTTAGCCCCTTCATAATTTTTCACATAGACCGCTGATATTTTCGGTTTTTTGTTTTTTGGTACCGGGGAATCAAACTTGGGACCTTGTGCTTGCGAGGCAGGCACCGGAACCACTGAGCTAAATCCGTGGCCCGACCGCTGATATTTTCGAAATCGTACGTAAATGTGAATAAAAGGATCTTTAGAAAATTGATGTTTGTGATACACAACAAAAAGGAAAAAGGGCGAGCTTACTATCAATTCCCCTGGAGCCCACTTCTAACAGTCTCACTGTTAGCCCTTCGTAACAGAAATTCTGGAAGCACAGCTCTGTCTAAGGTGGAGGGGGGGAAGGCAGGCGATTTGCTGGTTTAGAGGGAAACTGAAGTACAGAATACAGAGGCTTCAGTTTCCCCCGCTGTAAAATGGGGACAATAACAGCCACTTTGCTCATCCTCAGCAGTGTCCCAGCTGCAGCTGCATCATAGAGACCAAAACGGGATGAGAGGGGGCCCTGTGCAGAGACTGAAAGGCCTGAAATCAGTGAGTACATAGTCATATTTGGCGTCTCCCACACCATTCTTTTCAGTAAATAATAAAGAGGAAAGAGATAAACTATAACACTTAGGAACACTGTTTTTTAATGAATTACAAACTAAATTACAAATAATGTTAATAGCACTCAAGTACAAGAGGTGGGAAGAGACAAAAAAACTTAAAAAAAAAAAACCATTTAATTACAAAACCCCAAGGTGCACAACAATAAATCCAGCCACTCTGACAGAAAAAAAGACTATAACCTGATATATAAATAGAATTGTTCATCCTTTTTTTAAGGAAATATGTTTTCCCCAATGCCCTCACTGCATTACAGCCCTGAAGAGTGTCAGCATTCTCCAAATGATGTCTAAACCTTAGCTTCCACTCCCCTAGGGTGAGGGGTAGCTTTCAAAGGATGATAGGAGGAAGGACAAATCCCTGGTAACTGAAGAATTAAAAATTCTAAAAGGAAGAGAAAAATTTGAACATCTCTCACCTGCCTCATAAGGCCATGGTGAAGCAAAAGATCTGACTCAAGCACAACGCCTGTCCCTTGGGCCTCTAGATTCTTATTTGCCCAAAGCAGGGATGAAGGGACTGCTGGCAATCATTTCTTGGGCTTCCCCCCTGGGGCTGCATCTTGAGTCTCCCAGCCCTGTAGGTGAGATGAAATACTAAAACTTAGCTAAGTGATTGGATCTATTTTTTTTTTTTTTTTTTGTACCGGGGATTGAACTCGGGTCCTTGCGCTTGCGCAGCAGGCGACGAAACCACTGAGCTAAATCCCCGGCCCTGGATCTATTTTTAACCTAATTCCTTAAAACAGATCCTCTCCCTTTTATTTTTTGGCTTGTTTCTCCAAAGTTCTAGTTTAGCCCCCTGCTGTAAGTTGGCCTTAAAAAAAACAGTGGCAGCAGAAGACTTGGGGTCCCTCTCATCTAAAACACAGAAAATAATTACAGGGGATTCAGAGATTGGGATGGGAAATGGGATTGGGGTCAGGGGTCAGTTTTGTTTTGAATCCCACCCCTCCTCAGCAAAGAGAGGGGGAGAGGGTAGTGAAGCTGAGTTAAGTGCATGTAATACTGAAGTTTCCTCTCATTTTCACCTGTTCCTCCTCTCTACCCCTGGATCCCCAGAACTGGCTGGACAAAAAGGGAAGGCAAGTGTTAAGGCAGCCAGAAATGATCAGAGAGCCTGCTTGAGTCCAAATCACCCAGAGCCGAGCCAGGTCAAACCCACAGTGGAGGAGAGGGTGAGGCTGAGGGTGAAGGCTTGGACAAGGACATCAGAGTCGAAGGTGGGGTACTGTCTTGGTCACATCCTGGAAGAATGGGTGAGCCAGAGCTGCTTTTGCCGAAATTCGCTTATTGGGGTCGTAGTGCAGCATTTGCTGGAGGAAGAGATGTATGATATCTTTAGTGACACAAGGGTGAACTAAATGGACAGCAGGTGTTCTTAGCAATCAGGAAAACAGAACTCCTTTTAACCCAGTTCTCATTTCTCTCCTCCCACATCTGAACCAGAGTGCTAACAAGGAGAGAAGTATGGACTAGGGAAAAGTGGCTGGGACCCAGAGTTCAAGGTCTCAGCTTTCCTTTATCCTGGAAAAGCCCTTCCCAAGGGGAATGAATGAGCGAACAGGTGCCCACTTCCCACCCTTACCGATAACAAGCTCCGTCCATCTTCATCCAGAGGAGGCACAACTTTGCTAAAATCTTGCCGGGCCCACTTGGGGAAGCTTGGCTTATAATCAGGCATAGAAGTAACTCCTGGCCAAACTACCTCATCTGGAGTCCCTAGAGTCCGAAAGATCCGGAAGAGTTGGTCAATCTCAGAATCTCCAGGGAATAGGGCACGGCGGGTCACCTGAAAATGGGGAAAGAGGAAAAGGCAAGAAACACACTGACGTAAATCACAGATGTCCCCTGCACAAAGGAGGTTCCCACAGGCAGTGGAAGGTCAGCAGGGCCCCATGACTCCCTCCCTGGGGCCTTTCATGGGGTTGGTCACACAGACCCTGAGACAATGAAGTCCCTTATTTCTCTTCTCATCCCCTCCTTCCTTCCCCCATGACAGCTTTGCAGATCCCCAAGGCTGGGTGGGGCTGGGAGGGGGTGAATGTTTGGGGTGCCACTGATGTGTAGCAAAGGGATCCCAAGCCACTCACGGGGTGTGGGGTAGACACTGCGGTCATCCCCCCTCCTTGTGATGCAGCCACTTCTAGATAGGAGCACAGCGGGCAGAGACTGTGTCTTCCATTTCTTCTGTGTTCCCCACAGCACTTAGCATGGTGCTGGGTACACACTAGGTACTTAATAAATATTTGTTGATGAATTGAGAGAGGAATATGGGCAATTGAAGGTAATGTACTGGGGGATAAATGCACATATTTATATACATATAGACATATATGGTCTCTAAGCCCTGTTACAACCCAGATAAAGGACCATTAAACATATTGATGATTTGATGTGAAGCCTTAGCCTGCTCCATTGTTGTATTAAAGGGGATGGGAGCTCTTACACAAGGCCATGCCTCAAGGATCCTTCAATCTGAAAAGCCAGAGTTTGAGAGGAGACATGATCTAAGCCTACAGATTAAATAAAGGGTGTGGATAAGTGAACATAGTTGGCTTCACTACATTCCTGGCATCCTACAAGGTCTCCAGGTCAAACGAAGGAGGCACTAAATGGAACTCAGTCTTCCAAATATGTGCACACTAAAATAGTTGAATAATTATAGAAATGATTTAGCTCATTTCAGGGATAAGAGAAGTATATTAGAGACAGTCTACGGTATCCTGGTGTCGCTCTAGAGAACCCTGAGAAAAAGACAGCCTATGGTTCTGGGCCAAGAAACGATTCTGTTGTTCTTGGATAAAAGGAGGAGAGGGCTTAGGCAAGCCTCCATACCATCTCAGCAAAGATACAGCCCAGGCTCCAGATGTCCACGGCTGTGGAGTAGTATTTGCAGCCCAGAAGGATTTCGGGGGCTCGGTACCACAGGGTCACCACCTACATGACAAGAGTAGAAAGTTGAGAGGTAGTTAAAGGACATGGACATTTCTACATCTCAGATCCTAAAAAAAATTCTCTCAGCCTCTTGGCAGTTTCTTTCTCTTCCTCTGATTTCCCCTAAGAAAATTTCCCCAACTTGTTGGCCCAGAATTAGCCTAGTCCATGGCTCTAGGGACCATATTTTCTGAACCCGCAATTTGGGACATTCCTGGAAAATGTAGGACAAATGGTCATAATTTTTTTTCTTTTCTTTTTTTTCTGAGATAGGGTCTCACTAAGCTGTCCAGCTGGCTTTGAACTTGCCATTCTCCTGCTTCAGCCTCTGAGTGCTGGTATTATAGACCTGTACCACCGTGCTCAATTAAATGGTCATAATTTTTTATTTCTTTTAAATTAATTTATTTATTTTTTCCTGGTACCGGGGATTGAACTCAGGACCTTGCACTTGTGAGGCAGGCATGGTGCCACTGAACTAAATCCCCGGGCCCCAATTTTTTTTTTTGGTACTGGGCATCGCGCTCTGGACCTTGCGCTTTCGAGGCAGGCAGCGGCACCACTGAGCTAAATCCCTGGCCCCCTAATTTTTAATATGCTTTTTGAGACAGGGTCTCACTTTGTAGTTAACACTGGCCCTGAATTCATTTTGTAGCCCAGGCTGGCCTCAAACTTGAGACGGTCCTCCTGCCTCAGCCTCCTGAGTACTGGGACTACAGGCATGCGCCACCACGCCCAGTACAAATGGTCATAATTTTTTTTTTGTTACCAGGGATCGAACTCGGGACCTTGCGCTTGCGAGGAAGGCGGTGGAACCACTGAGCTAAATCCCCAGCCCAATGGTCATAATTTTAATAGTGTGCCATTCAGCTGTCCTGGCCTGGTATCTAAACCTGGTTAGCCTGACAGCATGAATTCTGTGCATACCCTAAAACCCTTAGGATGTCAGAAATTCTATCTACCAAGAAAGAAATTGTTGGTTAGATAGTTTTAGCAACTTTGTGAGAGCTCTTGTTAACACTTCCCAGGATGCTCGGAAAAGAACAGCACAAAGGGACATACCTCATGGGTGTAAGTACGCACGGGGACCCCGAAGGCTCTGGCTAGCCCAAAGTCGGCTAGCTTGATGGCCCCATCTGCGTTGATAAGCAGATTCTGAGGTTTAAGGTCTCGGTGCAGGACGCGATGAGAATGGCAAAAAGCGAGGCCCTGGAGCAGCTGAAACAGATAGTTCTGACAAAGGAGAGAGGGAGATTGTGTTTCTCCATCACAATGAGCAGATTAGGTTTTGCTCTTTGCCCCCTAAACACTAAACCCTTCACTTATGTTAGATTATAACTACATGTTTAAAAACTATTTTTCCCATTGGACTTTCAGCCCAGTGAGGTTAAGAACCAGGTCTGATTCAGTTTTACAACCCTTTCCATATCCTGTGCTTAGCACACTAAATGTATGTTGAAGGAATATTTATGGAAAGATTCAAAGTAGCTCCAGGAGTGAAGAACCCATACCTAATAGACAGCAGACTCACTGGCTATTTTTCCCACTGAACAGGTAGAAGGGGGGCTAGGGATTTAGCTCAGTGGTTTGGCCACCTGCCTTGCAAGTACAAGGACCCGAGTTCCATCTCCAGTACCAAAAAACAAAGCAAAACAGGTAGAAGGGCCTTTTGGAGAAATCTACCAACAGCCCTCAAATCCCATTTATCTGAATTTCATCTGACCTCCCACCAGAGGCAGCCAGGTTGACTCACAAGAGTTTTAACTTTGATTCTTCAGCCCAACCCTAGGGCTAATGAGTATAATGAGTAGGGAAAGAGATGCAAAAGAAAGGGTGGGTGGTGACTGGGAAGGAGGCCAAAATAACAAAATTATCATCCAGTCTGAATCGCCTGCCTCTAGCCCCCCAGAACGTGCACATGGTGAAGTGAAGTTGATAGAAGGGTCACCTTAATGAGGGGAAGAGGAACGCCAGTGAGAGCAGAGGCGTCCATAAACTTCTTGAGATCTTGGTGCAGAAATTCGAAAACGAGGTAGAGTTTATTTTCCGTGTGGATGACATCCAGCAGCCTACATAAGAGGAGGTCCAGGAATTGTAGGTAAGGGAGAGAAAGCCCGGACTCGACAGATTAAACCCATCCTATCAGAATGCCTTCCAGACACTACTTACTTGACAATATTGGGGTGATTAAGCTCCTTAAGCAGAGAGATCTCTCGAATGGCAGTGCTGGGGACACCCTCAGTCTCACTTGGAGAGATTGGGAAAGCAGAGATGGGAATATGGTTACAAATACCCGCTTTGACATTAATTGGTCCACAACCTCCCACCCCCACGTCCTCTTGCAAAGTCAGAGAGGAGGAAGAGCACCGTAAAGAGTTAATTCCTGGGTAACTAGGACCTGGCTTATGGACACCTTAAGGTCAACATTTCCTCTTTCCCTGAGGTAGGTAAGTAAAGCCTCCCCGTTAAGCTGAAGCAGAGAGAAAAGAATGGAGAAAAAATGTGAGAGAGTAGCACCTGGCCACCCGGAGGGCCAGTGTGGTTCAACTGCCACTTGAAAGAGGGAGAGAACTCTGGGAGGGTGGAGTTGGGCAGGGAGGACGGCTCTTCGCTCAGTTTTCCACTGGTCCCCGCACACCCCCATTCCTTGGAAAGTCCTTCATCTCATCCCAGAGGGGTCCTTTCTTTTCCTGAGTCTCTCTGCTTGCACATTTGGGGACATCACCGGGTTCAGTATGGAACGGAAGTTTTCCATGGCTGCCAACACCACCCCGTACTCCCTCCAGGAAAACTCTCTACGCCGCCCCCCCTTCAAAAGAAGTCCCTCCCTGCCACTTTCCGGTCCCTGGACGGCTACCCGCCTGTTGGGGGTGGGGGAACAATCTAGGGGCTCCCTAGTTAAGAGTCCCGGCTACAGAAGCCACTCACGTGTCCAGGCGGATTTTCTTAAGCGCCACCACTTCTCCCGTCAACTTATTTTTGGCTTTGTACACAACTCCGTACGTGCCCTCTCCGATCTTTTCTACCTTTTGGAAGTTCTCCATGAAGCGCTAGTGAGTCGGGTCAGCCCGGCCCTGGAGCGGGGACCTGGGAACCCTGCAGAAAACGAGCCGAGGGGCCGAGGAGGGGAAAACGGAGCCCAGCACGGTGGCCTCGGGTCAAGATGGAACGCAGTGTATGTCTGGCTCTTGTCAATTTGTCCAACTTAAAACAATGTTCCCGCCTCCCCCCCTTCCCGTTCCCGACCGCCACCAGACGCCCCACCCCTCCTTCCCGCGTTTCCCCGACTCCGCCCTCGGCTCTTCTGATTGGCCAACGTTACAGAGGGCGGGGAGACCCTGCGCTCCTCGCGGCGAATGATCTTGCCCCGTGTAAGTTTGTTTCTGAGAGGCCAGACAAGTTTCTTCCGCCTTCGGGCGGCTGAGGACCTTTTTCCAAATTCCCGTTGTGGGTTTGAGTTTCCTACCTGTGTCTCTTGTCTGTAAAGATTCCCTGATCTCAAACTATTTTCACAACCCCTTGGGAAAATGTGTATCGACCTAAAATTAATTCCCACCTGGCCAGGGCGCCTCCTTTGAAAAACAGAAAGCTGGGAATCTCATCCCTAAGAATTCCTAGGCCTCAGAAAGAGGAAAGAGTGCCTCAGCCTTTCAGCCTGTATAAGTACTGTTCTCTGGTTTTGGATGTAAAGTTTCTGTTTCTGACTTTTTTAGAGGGTCCTGGTTTAACTCAACTGATGCACTCTTCCATGATGAATTCCGGTGCTGGGTATGTGTTATGTAGCTGCCTATAGGCCATCTCTTTCCCTAGTGATGGAGTGTGTCAAGTTGAGTGTAACCCAGTGAAGCCAGAAACTGGCCTTGCTTAGAGGGAGAGGAGTACCCAGTGACTTAGATCACTTGTCAGTTCGGTCTCTCTCGGGTCCTTCTGCCCCTCCCAGGACTCCCCTAGAAGGAGAAGAGGAAGGACTATGCAAATGAGCACCCCTTTCTTATATAGGGGCTTATTCCAGACCCCCAGCGCCTTTGGTTGCTGGAATAAAGAACAGGATGGATATGCTGCTGGCAAGGTGTCTTCTCCACTTGTCTGTGCTGAATGGTTTGTTGGTGGTGGGGATCACAGAAGGTGAGTGTGTTTGTGTGTGTGTGTGTGTGTGTGAATCAGGAATTGAACACTTGGTCTGGTTTCCCACCTCATAATGGGAGAAACCAGCAATACCTCAGATTTCCTCCACCTATTTGATTTAGGGAGTAAATGGGCACCTGACCTCCTTCCCTACGTGGAAATTTGAGATTGAGCATGAAAATGATCCTGTCTGTTTAGAAGGGCAGAAGGATAATGGGTCTTTGTGGCAATAATTTGAGGTCCTCATGGCAGTGAGCTGGAGCAGAAACTCCAAAAGGGTGAAATGAGTGGGAGGTTCTTTTAGGTAATGTCCCAGGTACATGAAGTAGGGGATTCAAAGTGGGGAGTAAGAAAAGCTGGTGTTGGATAAGAAGGCTAAAGAGGCACCACCTTTCCCCCTTGGAATGGGTATGGGTGAACACTGCCCAGACATATTATTCTGGGGCTGGGAGAAACAGGCAGGGGGTCTCAGCTGAGCATCACATGAAAGGGCTCTGGGGGATTGGGGCCTCGTGACAGGAGTGGGGTGGAGGTAGTGGTGTCCAGAGGGTCTGGAATGTCCCATGCTGCCCTGAAGAGGGAGGGTGGGAAGTGGAAAAAGAATGGGGCATCTTGTGACTTCTCTTGCTCTAGTGCTGGGATGCTCAATGAGATAATTCTAGATAATCCCCTAGAGGAATCTTCTAAATTTCCAGTGTGCATTAGAAATGAGGTGAGGAGCCAGGCATGGTGCCACATGCCTGTAATCCCAGCACTTGGGAGATTTAGGCAGGATGTTCATGAGTTCGAGATCAGCCTGGGCTACATATAACGAGACCTTGTATCAAAAAAACAACAAACAAAAAAAGAAAATAAATAGAGTGAGGATCATTTTTGCTCTGCTGATATGTAGACATCATATGCCAGCTTGGCTTCCCTTCTCTGGATCCCTGGTGTCTCAGGCCTCTAGGAAGTTCTTTTTTTGTGTGTGGTGTAGGGGATTGAACTCTACCTTGTGCTTTCGAGGCCAGCATAGTGCCACTGAGCTAAATCCCCAGCCCTAGGAAGTTCTTGATTTGACATCCCTCATTCATGCTGCAGTTTCAAGACTTTTATTGTGTTCCTTCATATTTTCTGCAAACATTCTGTTCACACGCATCCACCTGAGGCTCTTAAAAGATTGCTTTTTTTTTTTTTTTTTTTGTACTGGGAGTTGAATCCAGGGCTTGGCACTGAGCTACATCCCCAGACCTGCTCTTTCATTTTGGATCCCGATTTTTAAAACTAAGAATAGATTGAGGATTGACTCAGCAGTAGGGTACACATTTAGCACATCCAAGGCCTTGGGTTTAGTTCTCAGTATCAAAAAACAAAACAAAAACAAAAAAAAGAAAGAAAAAAGACATTTTTTCTTGGTGCTAATGAAACTTTACATGAACTGGGTTTGTTTGGTAGTTATTTTAGTGTGAAATGACATTGCGCAAGAAAATATTTTTATTTTTGTTTTTATTTATTAAAAAAATTTTTTTTGGTATCTGGAATCAAACTCGGGATCTTGCGATTTCAAGGTAGGGGGCGGAACCACTGAGCTAAACCCCCGGCCCCAATATTTGTATTTATTTATTTATTTATTTATTTATTTTTTGGTACCAGGGATCGAACTCGGGTCCTTGTGCTAATATTTGTATTTTTAACAGATACTTAAACTGAATTTGCAGGGTTAACATGATTCTGATATTTGCTTTTAAATATTTTAACCAAAAGCAAAAACAACCTATAAAGATAAAGCAAATATGACCAAATGCTAAGAATTTGTTGAATCTAGATGAAGGCATGTGGAGATCCAGAATACCCTTTTTTCTTTCAGACTCCTCTCTTACTCATCTACTACATTTACGATTTTTTTTTTTTTTTGAGACAAGAGTCTCACTATGTAATTCAGGTTGGTCATGAATCGCTGTGTAGTCCAGGCTGGTCTTGAACTCTATTATAGCCCAGGATGGCCTTGAACTCACAGGCAGTCCTCCTGCCTCAGCCTCCCAAGTGCTGGGATTACAGGCACCACACCTAGCTCCAGGCTGGTCTCGAGCTCTTGATCCTCTGGCCTCAGACTCCCAATTATAGACATGTGCCAATACACCCAGCTCAGTTAGAGTAATTTTATCTGCTCATCCCTACTCCCAAACTGCCTGCTTGCCATCCTCCCCATTGTTTGCCATAGTGATATCTCTAAAATACAAATATGATCATGCTCCAAAAGCTTCTGAAGGGTGAACTTTGTGGTATTGGGTTATATCTCAAATTAAAACAAAAGATCTGTAGTCGCATGCCTATAATCCCAACACTTGGGAGGCTGGGCTGAGGTAGGATGATTTTGAGTTCAAGGCCAGCCTGGCCTACATAGTGAGTTCAAGGCTAGTGCAGACAACATAGTGAGACTCTGCCTTGAGAAACAAAATAAATAAATAAATATTTTTTTTAAATCTTCAACTCATCTTCTCAGCGTCATTTCTCACAGTATGCATTGAGCACAATCCTAGGGTCCCCTGACATACCATGTGCTTCTGTGCCTCCATGCATCTCCTCATACTTGTTAGACCTGCACTTTAGGACTATGGCAACTCCTCATTGAGGTCTCCCATAGTCTGCTACAGTGGAATGAACTAGTTTACTCTGACATTTTGTTATACTCTGTGTATGTCTGTTATGGAAAATATTAAGCAGTGTTTTCAATTATAATAATCTTTGTACATGCTCATTTTTTTCTTTATACCAAGCGTTGAATCCAGGGCCTAAGCTACATCCCCAACCCTATTTATTTATTCTCACTAAATTGGCCATCCTGGGCTAGAGCTTTTGATCCTCCTGCCTCAGCCTCCCAGAGCTCTGGGATTACAGATGTGTGCCACCATGCCCAGCTACATACTTATTTCTCATACTTCACTTTGAATCCCTTCAGAGCCGTAGTTTATACATTCCTTAAATTCTTTGTGCCTAGAATAGTGCCTAGTATGTGGTGGGTATTCAGGAAATTAGAATGCACTCTGCATGGGAGAATGAGGGGGGCAACATAGAACAGAATGTTATCCCCTTAAAAAAGGACTAAGCGAAGATCCCAGGACCCTTATGGCACATTCCTTTAGGACCCAGAGACCAGGACTGGTTTGGTGTTTCAAGGCAGCTCCTAACTAAAGCGTGGAACAAGCAGCTGTATCCAGAATGGACAGGAGTCCAGGGGCCTGACTGCTGGAGAGGTGGGAACCTGGAAGTTCTGTGGGGAGGGCACAGTGGGGATGGGATGGGGAGGAGAGCAGGAACTGGGTTGAAGATTGGCCACTTGGGAAGACTGGACGGAAAAGATATATGGGGAGGGGAAGCCAAGAGATCCCAGTTCATGCAGCTTCAAATTCCAGGTGGCCAGGTGGCCCTAAAGGTCAGTAACGATGGGCCTACACTACTTGGTGCAAATGCCTCTTTCTCCATCATCCTGCAATTCCCGGAAAGCCAAAAGGTACTGCCAGATGGGCAGGTTGTCTGGGCCAACAACACCATCATTAATGGTAAGTACCTCTCTGCTCTTCCTAGGGCTCAGTGAGCCCAGGAAGTGCTGCCTACCCCCTCTGTGTTTTTGAACAAATATATGTAGTACCTACTCACTGACATAAAATTAGAAAACACAGTTAAACAAAAATATAGTCCCTAAACAGAGGGACAGCAGAATCTAGAAGCTGGACAGACCTAGATTTAAATTTGTCACAAGTATGTGACCTCAGGCTTGTGCTTTATTGCCTTTTGTAAAATGGGGATGGTACCTTCCTTGGAAGGCTGTTGTAAGGATGAAAATATAGTAATATGTAAAGTATTCAGCATAGGGCTGTTTTGTTAGCTGGTCCTGTTATTTATTTATTTATTTTATACCGGGGGTCAAACTCAGGACCTTGTACTTGCCAGGGAGGGCTGTGCTGCTGAGCTATATTCCCAACCCAGACACTGTTATTTTTATCTCACTAGTTAGGGAAAATTGCTATAAACATTTTAATATTTGGTTTTTCTTATGTAAGTATATACATATGACTCTTATATTGGAGTTTCCATATATCCCCACCTCCAACTACTACCCTAAGTGGG